GAACCCCACCTCCCCCAAGATCATTGGTCTCTGTCTTGCCCAGCTGTAACTGACCATCTTGTACCAGTTCCATCTTCCCAATGTACCTAGAACCTTATTCCCTCATCTTCTACAGAATTTCTCCAGCCATGTATTTATCTGGTTTATACTTCTAATTTTATTCTTGCTTCCAGTGGCACTGGAAGTAGTCCTGAGATTATTGCAATTGAGGTCTTTCCTTCTAATTTATGTCCTAGCTCTCTATATTTTTCTCTAGGACTTAATCACCCTCATCCTTCACAATGTCCTGCTGCTGCTCTGAAACATGCTTCATTCTGGCAATAGAGGGGGAGCCATGTTGTCCTGGAGTCTCTTTTCTGGCCACTAAACGTGGAGATGATATTTCCCATCTGCTCTGCTTAGACCCAGCATCCGTTTGGACCAGGTGTCAATTGATGAAGCACCAGACCCAAAACTTAACCCGACATTTCCGTACTCCAAACCAAACATCACACATGCACCATAGCCAACATCCCCTCGATCACACCAGCATGCACTCCGACTCATTGACACTCACCACCCTCTACATAATATTTATTCTTTCTTCTTACTTTCTCTCTAATCCTCTGCCACTTATCTTGAATTTATGACTCTTGGTTTTTGAACTCTATGCCAAGGAAAACATGTTCCGTCTATGTCTACCTTTTACAAAATTGTATATCTCAATTATGTCATCCCTCAGGTGCCTTTGTTTGAAGGAAAAAACAACTTCAACCTCTCCTATCTCTCCTCATAGCTACAAGTTTCCATCCCTGACAACATTCTCTGCACTCTCTCTAGATCAATTATATCCTTCCTGTAGTGTGGTGATCAGAACCTCACATAATACTCCAGTTGTGCCATCACCAGTATCTTGTACAGATTCATCATTATATTCTTTTGTATTCCATACCTCTGCCAGTGAAGGAGTGCACTTCATACGGCTCCTTTGCAATCGTATCTCCCTGTATTGACACCTTTGGGGCCTGTGCACTTGCACACCAAGATCTCTCACTTCATCTACTCCTCTTTGTATATTCCCATTTATTGAGTATTCCCTTTTACTGTTTGAGCTCCCTAACTGCATTACCACACATTTATCAGCATTGAACTCCATTTGCCACTTTCCTACCCACTCCACCAACTCAACAATATCACTTCGGTGCTTACACTTATCCTCTATACTATTCACTACATGGCCAATTTTTGTGTCTTCTGCAAATTTCCGAACTGTGACTTGAGGGAATAAGGTTCTAGGTACATTGGGAAGATGGAACTGGTACAAGATGGTCAGTTACAGCCGGGCAAGACAGAGACCAGTGATCTTGGGGTGGGGGGGGGGGGTTCGAAGGGGTCGGTGTGGGGTTTGCTAATGCTTTTCAAAAGCGTTTATACAAGAGTTGCCGGGTTGTGGAAAGCTAAGCAAGGAGGCAGTAGAGGTAGAAAGAAGAATAGAAACAAATCTAAATCCTTAATGTATATAAAAAAACAAACAGCAGGGTTCCCAACACAGAGTCCTGTGGAACACTATTTGAAACAGCCATCAACCAATGACCCTTTGTTTCCTGTTGTTACTCAACTTTGGATCCAATTCAACACATTACCCTTTATCCCCTTGGCATTTGCTTTTTTAACCAGTCTGCCACATGGGACCTTGTGAAAAGCCTTATTAGAATACATGTAGACGCCATCCACTGCACTATCCTTGTTGATCCTCCTTGTCACCTCCTCAAAGAATTTAAATCAAACTTGTAAAGCATTATGTTCCCTTAACAAAGCCATGCTGACTATTCCTGACTAGTCTATGTCTTAACAGTAAATCTAGTCTCTCAGGATTGATTCTAACAATTTGTTTACCACGGAGGTAAAGCAAACTACAATATGATCCTCAGAGCATTCGATATATCGTCCCTTGTTTCCTTTGATAACCTAGGATACTATTTATTTATCTTTCGATCTTCAAGTAGTAGTTTGCACGAATACTTCAGTTCTGAGTACGCTGAATTTAGTGAATATTTCATGCTCATCCTTCAGTAGAATATAATCATCATCGTCTCCTTTATGACTAGAAATAAAAAGTGAAGAACACGCTTGGGTGACTCAGCGTTTTTATAACTCGATGAATAAATCGAAAAATGGCTCAATGATTGAACGTTTACAGAATAGTTCGTTGCTTTCTACTGGTATATATCTACAGACATGTAATTCGCAACACACGTGACTTTCTCAAAAATCTTTTCCTTTGCTCAGTAGTACACAAGTTCTACAGCATCCGCCTGCTTTGCGATTACGTACTGACTGATACATATCATGAAATTAAAAAAAAATCGCTACAAATACTCAGCAGCTTATGAAAGGTGTAGTGGCAAAGAAGATCATTTTCACATTTTTGGCCACCTCTGAAAAAAGTTGGAGAAACTGAGAAATGATTGTTTTTCAACAAGGAGTGGTTAGGACAATTAATAAATAAAATGGTCTAATTGGCAGGAAAAGAAAGAAATTGATGTAAATATGGTTTTCACCCTGAAGTCAATAGTTAAAGTCAGCCATTTTTGACTTTTAAACGATTTGGAATACGCTTAAAATATTGTTATTTATCTGATGACATTAACATCAGGGGTTCTGTATTATTATTTCAAACAGACGATTTGGTCTTTGAGGCAAAATATCAGGAGGAAGGAATGAACGACATGAACATTTTGTAACAGAAGGGAAAAATGAAAAAAAAGTCTGTCTTAAAACAAAAAGTACTGGAGAAACTCAAGCAGAACTGGCAACAATTGTGGGAAATAAAACAGAATTAGCATGCGTAAACCTCCTTGTTCTCACAGGTTTCCCAAAAGAAGGTTAAGGAGCTTTACCTTTGGCGACGTCGGCAAAAGTATATTTACTTGGCTGCTGAGAGTAAGGAAATTCTCAAACAGCGAAGGATGGTGCCTGTCAAACTGTCCAACAAAAAGGGTTACATTTTCATTCAGACTGACCAGCCAGTTTACACCCCCGGCCAAATCGGTGAGTCCCACAGTGCATGACTTATTGGGGGGCGGGGGATCAACTGTAGACAAGCACAGATACAACAGCAGTTAATATAACAAAAGCAACAAGAGAACTAGTATTTCTTGACATTGAACTTAAAACTTACGATGTGTATACAAATAATAGTTCATATCTCGCGTGTGCATTTGTGTTTCTAATGCCATCATCAGGGGAGTGATTGCTTACGTGAGTCTGTGTTTGTTTGTAAACATGATTCTACCTGCACATGTATAGGCTGAGCATCTATTTACCGTGCAGGAGCTGGCATTTGGTTGTTTGTGTTTACGTTAACGTTTCACTAAGTCCGTTTGCCTGTCTTTGTGTGCGTTAATGATATTTGCGTACCTCTGTGTGCCTTTCGGTGTCTATATATAGATGTGCTCGTATGTCTGGCTGAGTGAGTGTATCATGCTCCGTGTTTTTGTGAACGGTTGTGTGAGTAATTGTGCGGAAGGTTCTCTGAGAGCATGTTTGTGACTGGGTGTGCATCTGGAAAAAAAGACTGATTCGACGTGTAGTTTAAAGTGCGTGTTAAAGTTACGACTTTTACAGGTTTTTGTGCCCAGATATTATTGTGTCTGTGACTGTTTGCCTGTGTGCAAAAATGTGTTTCTATTGAAAAACTCTGGGTGTTTACGTTCATAAGTGTAAATTTGAGTGTTTGCATGTATATTGGTGAATTATCACGGAGTTTCCGGGAATTCCCTCCCTAATGGTATTGTGGGTCAACCCACAGCAGGAGGACTATAGCTGTTCGAGAAGTCAGCTCACCACCACCTTCTCAAGGGCAACTAGGGATGGGCAAGATACGCTGGCCAGCCAGCGACACCCACATCCCACAAATGAATCAAAGAAGACACGGTTTAGACTCAACCAAGGTTATTTGTCTCGTTAAAACTTTGGTTTAGACGTGGATAAAATACTTTAAAATGAGACTGATTGTACTCGTCATTAAAGCAAAGTGGGATCCATTTTAAAAATAGGAGCTGCTGCCCCTCTCTCCAGAACCCCAGAAGATAAGTGTAAAGAAAGACGAGTAGCAAAGAGAGGAAGAAAAGCAGGTGGCTGGCCTGGGGCAGACCGACCTGCTGTGCCGGTGCTGCCATCTCTCCTCCGTGATGCCAGGTCCCGCTCTCTTGAGTGCGCGATAAAAAGCATCTGTAAATGTGTCAGAGGTAGTAGGAACTGCAGATGCTGGAGAATCTGAGATAACGTGATGTACAGCTGGATGAACACATTTCTCAGATTAGAGACGAGTTGAAAGTAGTATTCTCCAAGGATCAGTGTTGCAACCCTTGCTTTTTCTGATGTATATAAGTGATTTGGAGATGGATGTTGAGGACAAAATCTCCAAATTTGCAGATAATACAAAGCTAGGGAGAATAGCGAATTGTGAAGATGATGGTGAGTGCCTTCAGAGGGACATTGACAAATTGGCCAAATGGGCAGACACCTGGCAGATGAAATTCAATGAAATGTGAGGAAATGCAGTTTGGTAGAAGAAACACAGAGGGATAATAGAGGCTCCATGGTAGAACCTGGAGGAGAGTATAGAGGCAGACAGACCTCGCGGTTCACATACATGATTCTCTGAAGGTGGCCAGGAAAGTTGAAATAGTTTTTAAAAGGCTTATAGGATCCTTGGATTTATATATAGAGGCAGAGAGTATAAAAGCAAAGTGGTCATGCTACACCTCTACAAATCATTGGTCAGACCACATTATGGAGTTTTATGTTCAGTTCTGACTATATTATTTATTGAAGGATTTTAAAGCCTTGGAGAGAGTTCAAAGGAGATTTATTAGAATGATACCAGGAATGAATGATTTTAGGTGCAAGGAAAGATTAGAGAGGTTGGGCTTGTTCTGTTTGGAGCAGAGAAGATTAAGAGGTGATCTTATTGAGGTGTTACAAAATTATGAACCATTTTGAAAAGGTAAAGAAAGATATTCTAATTGCTCCAGTTAGCTTTCCATCCATTGACTCTATCTATACTTCCAGCTGCCTTGGGAAAGCAACCAACATAATCGAAGACCCCCTCCCACCCAAGTCGTACTCTGTTCCACTGTCTTCTGTCAGGCAGAAAATGTTAAGGTTTAAATGTGTGTACAGATAGATTCAAGAACAGCTTTTCCCCCCTGCTATCAGACTTCTGAATGGATCTCTCAAAATGTTAATTCTGATCTCTCTCTTTTTCTGTGGCTGTAACACTGTATTCTGCACACTGTTCTGCCAGCCTGATGCACTTTGTATGGTACAATCTGCCTGTATGGAATGCAAAACCACACTTTTCACCGTACCTCGGTACATGTGACAACAATAAATCAATCGGTAACTAGGGGTCACATCTTCAAGATTGTCAGCAAAAGAGCTCGGAATGAGATGAGGAAAAGTGAGGAATGAGTCCGCGAACTTTTCAAAATGTTTGCCTTTATTTCATCTTATATGTTGACTACATAGTTGCAAGTTGAGATCTCTGCAGCAACAGTTTCAATCATGCTTTCTATACACTTGTTTTTACTTGATCCTCCTCGAAATCTGAAAATAATGGGTCAGTACCTTCTGTTAATCTATTTCGTGACATCTTCCTGGGACGTACTCCAATAAGTTTGTACAAGCCATTCCCCACACACTTACCACAAGATGCAGGCAACAGTCTATTCATCACGTACTCATATCTTTTACAAACTGATTTCCTTAGTTTTGACCGTACCTGCAAGTTAATTGGTCTGTGCTTTCAATCTCAGTTTTAGAGTCATAGAGGCAGAGTCATATAGCACGGAAACAGACCCTTTGATCCAACTTGTCCATGCCGACCGAGTTTCCCAAACTGAACCAGTCCCATTTGCCTGTATTTGGTCCATATCCCTCTAAACCTTTCCATTTATGTACCATCCAAATGTCTTTTAGATGTTGCAATTGTACCTGCTTCTACCACTTCCTCTGGCAGCTCATTCCATATATACACCACCCTCTGTGTGGAAGAAGTTGTCCCCTCAGGTCACTTTCAAATCTTTCCCCTCCCACCTCTAGTTTTGGACTCCCTCACCTTTGGAAAAAGATCTTGGCTATACCCTTTATCTACGCCTCTCATGATTTTATAAACCTCTATAAGGTGTCCTCCAATGCTGCAGCACTGGAGATGCAAAATAAATTGTGGAATCCGGGGACACAGATTTTTATCTGTTTAAGTTTTGATTATCATTAATAAGTTTTCTGTTCCTTCTTAATTATGCTGTTCTGTGCAGTTGAGTCAGGAATGAAACCATTAATGTACCTTGGCATACATACTGAAAGAAACAAACGCTCTTGTCAGTGTTTGGAATAGAATACTGACTGGTTTTTGGAGAGTTGAATGCACATAAAAAAATTTTGTATTACCTTCCTATTTTGTCTTGTCTTCTTGGTGTGAGGGTCAGGCATTTCCTCCTATTTTACATCTATAAGCATAATGTCCCTAACTTTGCAGCCTCTGATGCATTAATGTTCAAGTCTTTGTAAGCCAGAACTGGAGCCACTGCTGTTGATGGTAGCACTCCTTCCACATATGGTGATCCGTGAGAGGGGAGGGATGATGAATTTTCTACATGAAACAGTACGTTCCTTGGCTTGCAACTGTTCCTACCTTTGGAGATGCCCTTTCATATGGCAAATAAATATACTGATTATCATTTGTTCAAATTGAATTAAGGTGAAACATAAAAAGATAGAAAGTAGGTGCAGGTTTAGGCCATTCGGCCCCTCGAGGCTGCACCACCATTCAATACAATCATGGCTGATCATGCAGACTCAGGATCCCGTTAGCAGCAAGAACTACATCCAGCTCCCTCTTGGAATATATCTAATGAAGTGGCCCCAACATCTTCCTGTGGGAGAGAATTCCACAGGTTCACAAATCTTGAGTGAAGAAATTCTTCCTCCTCTCAGTCCTAAATGGTTTACCCCTTATTCTTAGGCTGTGACCCCTTGTTCTGGCCTTCCCCCAACATCAGGAACATTCTTCCTGCATCTAGCCTGTCCGGTCCCATCAGGATTTTATATATTTCGATGAGATCCCTCCTCATTCTTCTAAATTCCAGCAAGTACAAGCCCAGTCAATCCAATCTTTCCTCATCTGTCAGTCCTGCCATCCCAGGAATCAGTCTGGTGAACCTTTGCTGGACTCCCTCAAGTGTCCTTCCTCAGCCTAGGAGACCAGAACTGTATACAAGACTCAAGGTGTGGCCTCACTAAGGCCCTGTGTAACTGCACAGAGAGATCTGGGTGTTCAGGTCCATTGTACCCTGAAGGTGGCAACGCAGGTTGATAGAGTGGTCAAGAAGGCATATGGCATGCTTTATTCATTGGACGAGGTATTGAGTACAAAAGTTGGCAGGTCATGTTACAGTTTTATAGGACTTTGGTTCGACCACATTTGGAATACTGTGTACAGACCTGGTCGCCACATTACCAAAAGGATGTGGATGCTTTGGAGAAGGTGCAGAGGAGGTTCACCAGGATGTTGCCTGGTATGGAGGGCACTAGCTATGAAGAGAGGTTGAGTAGATTAGGATTATTTACATTAGAAAAACAGAGGTTGAGGGGGGACCTGATTGAGGTCTACAAAATCATGAGAGGTATAGACAGGGTGGATAGCAAGAAGCTTTTTCCCAGAGTGGGGAGCTCAATTACTAGGGGTCACGATTTCAAGCTGAGAGGGGAAAAGTTTAAGGGAGATATGCGTGGAAAGTTCTTTACGCAGAGGGTGGTGGATGCCTGGAACGCGTTGCCAGCAGAGGTGGTAGAAGTGGGCACGATAGTGTCATTTAAGATGTATCTAGACAGATACATGAATGGCAGGGAGCAGAGGAATATAGATCCTTGGAAAATAGGCGACAGGTTTAGATAGAGGATCTGGATCGGTGCAGGCTTGGAGGGCCGAAGGGCCTGTTCCTGTGCTGAAATTTTCTTTGTTCTTTTGTTCTTTGCAGGAAGAC